CTATTTTAGCAAGCATCCCAGACATCAATGAAGTATTAACCCATCAATCTAGTTATCTTATATAAAATAGGTGACACTAACTATTTTAGTCTAGTGGTCCCATTATACATAAAAAACTTGATATCCTTAAGCAATATATAACTAGATAATAAATTATAACAAACCATATCATTTATGGCATCAGATAAGCTAAAACTTTATTATCCAAGTTATAACTCTATGATGAAAGACCTTTAGATTTATATTTCTTAAATATTAATCCATCTACACTTCTATACAACTTTTATTATTTATTATAATTGAGAGAACATGAGAGAAAACAATAACAGTCAATTCTAATAAATTATAAACTATTTTATAAAAGAAATTCAGAATAATTTTGAGTTAAAATTGAACGTTTTAAAACAATGCAACCATATCACATGTATAATTTAAACACGTATTCCGTAAATACAATGATACACTATCAATTTTACTAATTCAACAAGTGTAAAATAATCTTTTCAATGAAATAAAATAAATTATACATGCATATGAGCTTCAAAATAAATTCTGCAACTGTTAGGCGTTAAACAGAAAATAACCATTACTAGATGGGTTAAAAAATAGTTTCAGGTTCAAATAGGGGGACTAAAACTAATTTTTCAACAAATTTATCATTATTAGTGGACTTTAGAATAGTTTTTGGGTCAATCAGTGGTCTGATAACAATTTTATCAATAAAATTCAAATTATTAGGGTTTTGAGTTCGGGTTCTATTTGCAGGTCAGACTAGTTTTAAAATTTTCAAAACCAATTTTGATACACGGGTCCGGTTTAAGTTCGGATTTGGGTCCAACCCGTTTGAACTATTCAAATAAGAATTGGGTTTCGAGTTTAAAGTATCCGCGGGTCAAGACCCATTTAACTTAAACTTAATTGTTAGTGAATTTAGGTTCAAAACCTGTTAAGAAAAATTACCCAAAACATCATCTCCCTCTCCAACCAGCTCTAAGGTTTGGGTTTAGGTTTGCGTTTAGGGCACGACTGCCGCCACCCTTCATCGGGCAATGGTGGCAGAATTGTCGCTATGGCCCGTAGCTAGTCTCCCGCACGTCCACCAGTTAAACGCACTGTTGACAAGGTCGCCGAGATTTTTTTTTTGTTATTGCTTGTGATTAAATCACAGCCCTAGCCGCCTTGTAAAATCCCGTAAATTTTGAATATTATAAAAATAATATTAAATGAGTTTTTATCATGATAAATATTATTTATTGATGAATGAGCATGTTAGTAACCGTTTTGAGATCGATTAAGTGCATATACGAGAGTAAACGGGTGAAAAATATGCAAACATGCACACACATGCACAAACTGTAAATAGTTTTGTGTTCTGGTCGGTCGACCGACTCAAGCTAATCGATCGACCGATGATACCTAATCGGTCAACCGACGCTTTGTGGTCAGTCGACCGACGGCGTCAAACGTAGTTTTCCCAGTTTGACTTGGTTTCGATTTTAATTGCCTTGGTTCGGGTTTGTTAGTACATATACGGATATATTACACGAAAAATTCTCTTTTACATCATATTTCTGAACCCTAGCATCCACCTTCTCCCCTCAACAACCCTAGAGCATATTTTGGTGAATTTTCAGAGCTTTGTGAAGCAAATACCAAGAAGAGGACGAGATCGTCGGCGTTTGGTGGGAGAATACTTGCTTTCTTGCACCCTTGAGTTTTCCAGCCGTGTTTTGAGGCCAGTTTCATCTCCTCCAACCCCATCCCCGTTTTTAATTGGTTTTATTAAGCTTTATTTGATTTTATTGGGCCTTAAAACCTAGTTTAAGTATGAAAATTTTATCTTTTAAAGTATATGACACAAAGATTCGATCCTTTTGTTTTAAAAAGTTATAAATGGGTTCTATGTTTTAGATTCAAGCTCTAAAATAAATTTAACAGGAGTTTTTGTTGAGATTTCGTGGTTTTCATGATGTCTCTTATGAACACGGTCATGCTAGAATTAATATAATGCAATTAAACTTGATATTTGTGTTTCATGTAGATGATTGAGCCCTAATATCAAGATTTTATATTGTGTTTTATCTAAATTATATCAATTTCTAAGAGATAGAAACAGATCTGCATGTCACTCGAAACAAATTACAGAAACCTGGCAAATTATCTCTGGTCGGTTGACCGAAGCCCAAACATCGGTCGACCGATGAGGTCCTTTTTGCATATGCATGTTTTACACATACACCCAGTCGACCAAGGTGTGTTTACCCGTAGACCAGTCATTGTGAATTTGTGTTGTTGTCGTCGTTGTTATATGAGTTGATTGTGAACACGAGATTAGGGTCCGCACTTCGAGACACATACTTTGCTTGATCATTGGAGTACATGCAATGGGATGCGTTCGTACGAGCATTTGGTGATACGTAGCATATATTGTGTTTGGTCATGTAGAGATTGACATATATATTGCATATCATGATTGTTGGATGCTTGAGTGCGTTAGTTGGTATATCGCAATGAGACCACGGTAGATTACACTCAGGGTGGCTAGTTGGTATGCTAAAATGAGACCATGGCAGACTACACCCCGATATACATCATAGCTTTCCAGAATAGAGTGATATGTCTATTTCCGCAGAGCGATTGAGTAAGATAGTTGATGCCACACGATATTGTAAGCGCCTTACAAAAGTATCGTTAATTTAGATATAACATTACACAGATTGCATTCATGCTCCCATGTTAGTGACCTGAGAGTAGGGTATATTATTGAGGGTGTCCTATATGACATATTTCATGCGAGCTTCATTTTATTGAATGTTTGTATTTGTGATTGCACCATCTACTTGAGGGTAGTGTGAGATGTTTGACAGGATTGGCATTGGATGAGGTTTGGTATTGTACTGTCTTTCATTTATTGATTTACTCATAGAATTTAGAGTTGGTATTTAGCGATTCACAATTTGAGATACAAGGTATATACAAGAGGGTTTTCTTATTTGGATTATTTCGCTCGACGTACCCATTCTCATGTTGTGGATTTATAAATATCAATCTCCGCTTAGTCCGGGATAGATAATTTTATATCTATATGTATTAACATGTATTTCCATATATATACCCCTAACCTCATTTCCCCTGGGGGCGTTGGAGATGATCTCGCTAGCACTTTGATGTTCGTTATTTTCCCTCTTTTCAGGCAGCGAGTTAGGCGCACGGAGAGTCGTAGGTTGATGGAGTTTCGGCCTAGCGCCTATTATTATTTATATTAGTAGTTTATTTCATGCTCCACTGTAGTTAGTGTTTATTTTCAGACATTTAGAGTTGTACTTCATTTTGGAAAGGCTGTGTGTCTTAGTATTCTATTCAGTTGACTTTATGTATCGAGATATTTTACATTTGATTCAGTTTGTCATTCGTACTTTATTTTACTCAGTTAGAACATGATTATGAGTATTTAGATATCTCTTTCCTTTATCATGTTCATTGTAGTATTACCTTATTCTATCTGCCTTATACCTACACTTATTTATTGTTAATTCCACTAGAGAGATATTATTGTGATGGTGAAACGTGTTATTGCACAATGTTAGTGCATGGCAGGTTTGACATCATTGGGTTCACCTTGGACTACAGCCTTGTGTGAAACCAGGGACGTCACATGCCTCCTCCTCTGCCAGCCGTCCAATGCGCCACCATCTACTTGGTTGGTGATTACAAAAATTTAAAGTTCTAATTAGATCAAATCTAATCAAGAACCCTAAGATCATGATATAGAATAAAAATTAATCAAATTAAAATACTCTTTAATTTATCTTTTGATCTAACCCGAGAATAGTAATCGAACCCTAATTTTGATCTTAATCAAAATTTTTGATCTTAATCAAAAAAATTTATCTTAATCAAAATTTTAATTTAATCCAATTAAATAATACAAAAATTTAGATCAAACCATGATAATTTAATCTAATTAAATTACTACAAATTAGATTTTTAACCTACTCTGATACCATCTTTTTTAGAACATGCATACAATGCAATGGAATTTGCATATCGTGTAGATTAATAAAAATTGATTAAAGTTTAGAAGAATGCCTGAAATGCTTTCCAAATTTCTTCAATAATCTGTCACAAGGTCAATATGAAATAGCTTCAAGTAGAAAAAGCCTTCAACTGAAATCCATCCTTTACCGAAGAGGAGCAATACTGAGAAATAGGTTTTTAATTTTCTATTTCTTGTTTTTCTCATGAGGCTACATATGACCCTATATATAGGATTAAACTTGCTATATAGATTTCAATTTCAAAATAATTCTTAATTATTTATAACTCTTTCCTTAACAATCAAAGATAGAATATTCTTTCTATGACAATTAAGTAATGGTGCATTTGGTTCGGATACGATTCGGATATGACACTAACTATATCTATATTCATTTTCTTAAAACAGATACGGATGCAGTTCGGATATTCATCAGTAAGACCAAAGCATTACCATATAGCATTAAACAGAAGTGGATATGGTTCGGATATTAAAGAATTGGATACGAATATTAATCAGATATTTGCGAAATGGATATGAATAGGATATGACAAAAAATACATATAATTTTAATAACTCGCAAATAAAATATTACTAAAAATTAATATATACTTGCAAGCAAAAAAAATCCAGAACATTGCTACACAGATTCATGCCATAAAACAGAAATTAGGGAAATAAGTATGTAATTGTACATAAATACTCACTAACGTCTCCTTGACCTGAGTAGTATATTGACCTCTTTCGCTGTCTGACACTAGCTTGGAGAGCCCCAAATCTGCAACCTTTGCATTCATATGTTCATCAAGAAGGATATTCGAAACAGTTGCTCAAGGTCAGGGATAAAGCAATCATTATTTGTGGAGGAATTGAAAATCTGAAACAGTGCATTAGCTCATGTTGTAAGAATTCTAAAATTCAGTTATCCAAGCTATACTCATCCATCTCCCCTGTATCCAACAAAATGCCCTGGTTTATGACAGTTTGGGATTCAAAGAACTACCCTAAGCATAGTTTTATCCTTTGGCTAGCTGTTCTTAACAGATTGCAAACCAAAGATAGACTTCTTAGGAGAGGCATTATTCAATCTGCACAATGTTGCTTATGCTCTTCAGCTCAGGAATCTCGTAGCCATCTTTTCTTTGAATGTTACTTCTCATCTGGTGTATGGAATAACATCTTGGATTGGCTTCAATTCAGATGGAAGGCTTGTAATTGGGATATCATTTTGGCTTGGTTTAACAATAGTCTAAGGGGAAGAGGCTTCAAGCAAAGTGTGAAAAGATTGGCATTGGCAGCTTCTATCTACTGCATTTGGAAAGAAAGAAACAATAGAATTTTCAACCTGAAATCCAGAAATGTTGATCAGGTTACCAGGGATGTTAAGGAGGCAATATTGATGCTATTCTCAATGGTTCATTCTCAGAGGACAATAAGCAGTGGTTAATTTCTCTTTGAATCTCTCCTGTATATAGCTGTTTGTTTGATCCTGTTTTTTGATTTTTCAGTTCTTTTGAGCTGATTATCTGTTGTACATATTTTTTCACATTTTGGTAAATGAATAAAAAGTTTTTTTCATTGACCAAAAAAAAGAAGGATATTCGTAGATTTTATATCTCTACAGATAATTGGTTGGTTTGCATGTTCATGAAGATAAGCAACTCCTTGAGCTGAGTCAAAAGCTATTACGAAATATGGCCTTCCAGTTCAACGCTAGTTTGTTCCACAGGGAAAAATGAAAAAATAAAAGAAAATTTTTAGTGAAGGCAAAATGAAGAGAGAAGAATATATGGTTTTTGTTATTTTAGAGCAAACCTAACAAACATTCCCTCAGGGTTCCATTAGGCATGAACTCATAAATTAGCATATGTTCTCCTTTCTGAAAGCAGAAGCCTACAAGTTAGATACCTTCCCATAGCCTCCTACTCCAATTACATTAATCTCAGGGAAATTGTTAGTGCAGTTCCTGATCATGAATTCTTAGATTCAAATGATCAAATAAAATCTTCTATATTGAAGCTATTTAGCCACAATCAAACCAATATAAGAGATTACATAACTTCCAATCACTAAATTTCTTTAGAAAACTCAATGAGATAATCAATGAAACTAGAACATTATTAATCTAATGAGGGAAACAGCTACAAGTTGTCAGCAAATCTGTCGCATAGACCTAAGTCTTTACAAAGGGAAAAATATATGGATGTTTGCCAAATGATGGGTACTGAGCCTTGAGAAGTTGACACAAGACAGAGGTATTTGTCTCTCTTTTCAATCCTGGCTCGTATTGCATACAAATAAGCAAATTAAATATCTCAAAGCATCTGTGCATTGAAACCATAACTGCATTTTCATGTAAAGTTCAATCTCAGCGAAAATGATGCTAATAAAGACAATATAGCAAAATAAAAATGTGTTGTCATCATACTAACACTTCCAGCCAAGTCAAATAAGTTCATGAGCACACAATACGTCCTTTTTATCAAGCTCAATCAACCCCATAATAGTATCTTATAGGTATCATACATGCCAATAGAGAGAAATACTGATAAAGATGAATGCATTTACTATTTGTTCTCCTGTAGATTTGGCTGGAATGGCTGAACACGAAAGGCCATTGGCATATGAGTAGCAAATGCACCGTTTTTCTGATGAAAGCCAAGATCCAGATCCCTGACATTCTCCTCCATTGCTAGTTGCTGATGGTGCTGCAAAGGGAAATACTGGTTAGAAACTACTATGTTCTCACAAAGGAATGTTCATCAGAAGTGATAAACTATTGTAGCTATTATAACATTATAACCCAAAAACATCAGGAGTGAAAAATGTAATATGAAATACATCTTTACTCCTGAGTGTGTGAGTGTCGATGTGTATGCATTCTCTTTTTTGTGTCCGAGTCAGTGTGCATTCACATCTTGCTTGTGTGCTGGTGTATATGGGAGAGTATGAGCAGTACAGAGTAAGGGAGAACCAAAGTTACTAGAATAAATTAAAAAACTTCCAAGTTTTCGACATATAAACCCTTTTCTTTCCAGTTAGGAAGTTTTGTGTCAGACCTGAGAAGTATTAACAAGGAACATCACACAAACAACATGATGTGGTAACTTGTAAGGTACCGTTTGGCAAAGGGTTAAATGAGGGGTTAAAAGAGACTTAACCCTTCTTAACCCGCCAAACACAAAAAATCTATACAAGAGTTAAAGTGGGTTAACCCATCATAATTTGCCAAACATAAAAAATATAGAAGGGTTAAGCTAACTCCTCTAGAGGGATTAAAATAAGTTAACCACTCAAAATGAGAGGTTTACTAATACTCCTATTTAGAAGGATTAAGAGTTAACCTTTCTAATTATAAAAAAAATAGTCAAAATCATTGTTATTCCCAAACACTAAAATTGATCACAATGACGAAAATAAAACTTATTTAACAGGTTAATAATTTGGTCCTTCAGATTATCGAATGGGTTAAGTACATTAATCCTTCTTTTGAACCCCTCTTCCTTAACCATTTGTCAAACGGGACCTAAAAGAATAGGACATAGTGACAAGGTTATAAGACTAGAATAGATACAAATGTTAAGAGTGAAAGTCCTCATTGAGCGATGTTGGGATATATGAGGAAACAAGTCAAGGCATTACACATGCAAAAATGTATTGATTATTGTTGGAAGTAGGAAAACATAATTGGAACTATATCAACTATCTTTCATATATTGAGAATCCACAAATATAGTAGATATTATATTGTAACTATTTTTGTTCTTACAAATTAGGCAACCATGTACCTTATAAATCAGTATTCTCTTGATCAATAGAAGAAATATAAAGGAATTTCCCTCTTTCGTCCAATTTTTCTATGTTATAAATTCCCTTGAGACATCTATCTTTTCTATTAGGGGGTTATTCATCGGGACATTTGGGGGGATAATGGGATAATTTTGGGGATTCTATAGTGTTATTCATTGGGACAATGAAACAAGGATAATACATTTTTGTGATATTGGTTTTTTGGAACACTAGTGAGATAATTTTACCACTTGGGATAAAATTACCCAACTCAAATATAAAAACTTTGTCCCAATAGTAAAAATTTACCACATCCTCCATATTGGAATAATTTTGTTCCACTTTGAAGGCAATTGGGATAATTTTCAAACATTTTTGTATTGCTTAACTAATACATGCTAATTATATTATAAATATATGACATGATATATAAAATATAAACTAATAATATATTAAATATATTATATTATATTATCATGTAATAAAATAAAATATTATTATAGTTTAATTTATATGTATAATTTATTTTATGATATTTATTATATATTATTATGCAATATCACATACTATATTATATAATAGTACAACATATTTATTATAATATTATATAATATTTTAATAACATATATTATTATATAATATATTATATTAAATGTAGTTGATATTTTATTGTAGCAATTATATTATAGTGTACTATATTAAACCAATATAATAATAAAAACAACCGACATGTCAAGATCCAAATTCGCCGACAGCTGGGCTGGGTACGATGATGGGCGAGAGAGGGAAAAAAACCTTCTGGATGGATCGGGAAAAGTGACGACGAAGACGACGAGTGTCAGATGGAAGAGTTCGACAAATTCTATGGGACTGGGGATCCAGAGCACGAACCGGCGTCGGGTCGAAGGAAAAAAAGAGTCGACCACTCACGAGGAGTTTTCCCAGCTCAAGGCACCAAGATGACTGAAGAAGATGGAGAGAACTCGAGTCAAAAGTCCGACGGAAGTTAAGCCCTCGATTAGCAAAGAGCTCCCCCAACGAGCTCTCTCCGTTCTATCCAATAGACTATTCCTTGGGCTTGAGTCCCAGCTTCGGTAGGAGTCCAAACAGCATTATCCATTTCTAATTCCGAATTCTCATCCATAGGTGGAAATTCTTCTATGACGGCCATCCCCTTCCATTTCCCCCTCCCCGGTTGATCATCCACCTGGGGCTGCGTCTCGGGAAGCACCACTGGAGTCACCGGACCGGTACCATCATGGTAGCAGCAGATGGCCTATGTCTATGGAACTGGGAGGGAAGCTGGGAATAGGAAGGGAGAGAAAGCAGCGAGAAGAAAGGTTGGGATAGATTGAAGCACCGATTGGATAAGAGTGATTCGACCCTGCGAGCAGCGAGCGCCCCTTTATGAGTAAGTTGCGAGCCACGGGTTCGGAACGCAATCGGAAGTCAACGAGGACTAGAGTGCCTTTGGGGCTTCAAGCTAACGCTAGTGATTCCTGTCTCCATTTTCTTCCTTCGAGCACGAATCTGCCGGGGATGCGAAAATGCAGTCTTCAAGATCTTCAGGAAAGAGCAAGAATGAGTGCTGAAAGGAGTCTCGAGCGAAGGGAGAACAGCTCCTCTCACGGACCCGGGGGCTCCAACGACCTCCGATCCGCGAAAGCCCGAAGAATAACCCATCTGATTCGTGCACCTATTGTTGGGTCACAAAAAAAAGACGGAGTCGTTGCTTGACAGCGTTCACACGCAGCAAGAGAGTTATTTCGGTTCTCCATGCATTCGGACTGGAAACGTCGAGCGCGAGCAGAGGCGCGAGATGACCTTTCAAATCCGAAAAACCAGCTAGGATGACTACCCTCGGGGAATGAGATAGAAAGAAGGTAGTAGTAGGAAAGAAAAGGACCTCTCACTCCATTCAATAACTTGTTCTAGGGCATATTTTTAGAATAAGAAAAAGAAGCTACAGCTTCTCAGCTTTCGCAATGTTCGGTATGGGGCTACTGTTTTAGGTAAGCGACGAGCGGAGGGATTGAAGGAGGAAGGAAGGTTTCATCTATGAGCTATAGTATAATATAATATAACATATTAAAATTAATAAATATAATA